TGAGCTAAATCTCTGGCCCACTAGTGACAGACTTTTGAGGCCCAGCACTCCACTTCCCTGTAAAGAGATAGATCTCCAAGTGGTAAACCAGATAACCTAGTTTCAAAAAAGGCTACAACTCCTATTTAATACCACCTTCCACTATCTCCCTGTCAATATTGAAGAGAAAGGAAAGCAAGACTCTGCAAAAAAAGTAAAATCCTCTCCTGGCCTGCCTACTTTCATCGGGCCCTACTGTTTTCTTTTCTTTTTTCTTTTTTTGGTTTTTTGAGAGACAGGGTCTCACTATGTAGTTCAGACTGCTCTGGAACTCACTGTGTAGTCCAAGCTCTTCTCGAACTTGCAGCGGTCCTCCTGCCTCAGCCTCCCGAGTACTGGGATTACAGGCATGCGCCACCATGCCCGGCTTGGGCCCTCCTGTTTTCTAGATAAATATTGGAAAATAAAATATAAGGTTTTAAAACAATCCAAAGCAAATGTTTAAGATTAGAGCTCAAAGACCAAGTACTAGATTACAGCCCAGTGCCAGTTACAGACTGCTTGCTCCATAGTAAAATCAGCTGTGATGTCCTGCCAGGCAGGAAGATCTTTAAAAAAAAAATTATAAACTCTGGCTAATTGAAAAAAGTACCTTTCATCTTCAACTTAAAATAATGTTTGGTGTTTGGTTTCCAGATGTTTAATTGATGTATTTGAAACATTTCTTTACATTGCAAATTCTTTAAATTGTGATTATAGGATTAACTTGACTTTCTCTCTACTTTCTGCTTACAGACTTCTGACAATAACTATAACACAAAATTATGCTACTGTAATAAAGCACCTTTACTCCTTCTGATTCTAATTGCAAGAGTCCTCTGTTAATTATCTGCAAAAGTTTTGACTAGTCTCAATTAAAAAAGATGTTGTAGGGCCAGGGATTTGGCTCAGTGGTTCCGCAGCCTGCCTTGCAAGGGCCCAAGTTCGATCCCCAGTACAACAAAAACAAAAACAAAACATTAAAAGAGATGTTATAATTCAGTTGGCCAAATATATTTGAGTGCATTTTAGTTGCATAAATTATCTTATAAGTTTGTCTGTCTGTCCAATTGTCTGTTTTTTGTGTTTTTTTTGTTGTTGGTTTTTGAGACAGGGTCTCACTATGTAGTTGAGACTGACCTGAAATTCACTTTGTAGCCCAGGTCGGTCTCGAGCTTACAGCGCTCCTCCTGCCTCAGTCTTCCAAGTGCTGGGATTACAGGCATGCGCCACCACGCCCAACAGGTACTTTTTATATTTTGGTTTTTTTTGTTGTTGTTGTTTGAGACAGGGTCTCACTATGTAGTTGAGACTGACCTGGAACTCACCTTGTAGCCCAGGTTGGTCTCGAACTGTCCAATTGTTTGAAAGTGTTTGTCCAATTAATTTTTTTATCTTGATCAAAATGACATCAAAGATACAAATAAATTGTTAATTTCTACAACCTGGTCTCACAGGTTAAATAAAAAATAGCCAGGCACAGTAGCACACACCCGTAATCAATCCCAGCACTCGGGAGGCTGAGACAGGAGGATCACTGTGAGCACAAGACCAGCCTGGGCTACACAATGGGTTCCAGGTCAGTCTCACTACATAGTGAGACCCTGTCTCAAAAATCCAAAAAAAGGGCCAGGGATTTAGCTCAGCAGTTCCACCACCTGCCTTGCAAGTGCAAGGACCCAAGTTTGATCCCCAGTACTAAAAAACAAAAAAACAAAACAAAACAAAAGGTTATAATAAAATAAAAATTAAAAAGTTGTCAAGATAATTAAATATAAACTTTTAGGTTTGGATAGACTCCTGTTGGTGAATAAAGCAGCAGCTGCTCAGAAAAATTTATTCTGATCTTTTTTCACTAACGGGAGCCCCAATAATTTTCATAGCCTATGGGAAAATATACCCCCAATAAACATCGCTAAATATTATTATAAAATGTTTATATTGGTTATCATCAAAGGGTTGAGTTCTAAATATGTTACTGTGGCCAGGGATTTAGCTCAGTGGTTCGGGCTCCTGCCTCATAAACACAAGGACTTGAGTTCGAAACCTGGTACCAAAAACAAACAAAACAAAACAAAAAAATACGTTACTGTGATATGTTCATAATGGTGATCTTCAAAATATAATATTTTCTGTGGAAAAACAAGGAGTCATTCCACACTGCATATATAAATTGGTGGGTCCCCTGAACCAAAGGCATGTATCCTGCAAAGAATGAAAAATAAACAATATGATGGGCTGGGGATTTAGCTCAGTGGTTCCACTGCCTGTCTCACAAGCGCAAGGACCCAAGTTCAATCCCTGGTACCAAAAAAAAAAATATATGAGAAGCAAGATTATGCATACTCAAAACTGTAGCATAATAATTAAATAAATCATACACTTCATCATTACTTATGAAAGAAAAAAAAAACAAGGAGTTATTTAAAAAGAGCCTTTTGATACCAGGCTACACTACAGGACATTAGGTTTCATATAATTATAATAATTACTACTTTTTTGGTGTACAAAATATATTCTTGTTTTCTGAGTAAGAAGTGCTCCCTGTCTCGGCCATATTTCTTTCTCTCCTTTGTTCAGAGACAGCCCAGCAGATCCTCCCCATAGTAAAGGCTTATTATGGTCTTGGTCTGGTCCTGGTTTTTGGCTCTTTTTACCTAAACAATAATGTCATCCAATTCCCAAAGGAGACAGATGGCCATCATAGAAACTTGAGCAATCACTGTCTTGGCCCACTAGAAAGTTCTAGAATCTTTAATCTCTACTGTCTTCAGTCTTTTGTTTGTTTGGTTCCGGGATCAAACTCTGGTCCTTGCTGGTCCTTGCACTTACAAGGCAGGCGGCAGAACCACTGAGCTAAATCTCTGGCCTTGTCTTCAGTCTTAATGTTCATTTATGGCCTTAAGTTAATCTTTCTGTCCTCTCCCCAAAAAGGCAGATGAGAAAGAACCAACATTCCAATTTGATGATGAGAACAGTGATTTCTGAAATACATTCATTCAGAGAATGAAGGAAACAGGCTGGGTCTCCTCTGTCACTAGGTTGAGGATCAACCTTTGAGTAAAGAGGTAGAGGCTGAAACCCAAATTCAGGTATGCAGACAAACACAGGGTAAGGCACTTCTCCTCCCTGTCAGGGGGCTGAGGGTAAGGAGGAACGTGTCTAGAGAATTCTTCCTCCGACATCACATCTCTATAATTTGGTGGTGCTTCAGGCTGTTCTGTCAGGGTCAGTGTGAGCCAGCTCACATCAGTGCTGAACTGGCTGGCAATGGGGGAGTTTCTGCTGCCAAAACCATTACATGGAATCGTACCAGTGACTAATGGCAGCTTGAGCGTCAGCTTTTCGGCACCAGGAATGTGAATGTACACAGCTAAGGAATAGTGCCCTCTGACAGTGCAACAATCCAGGACGGAGGGAGTAGCAGGAGGAATTTTTAGAGTCTCCCATTCCATGCTGGTGCTCCCAGAAGCGACGTGGTTGAATCAGGCAATGTGGGTTGTGGTAGCTGGGGGCGGGGTAGCAGTGGCCTAGGGTGTGGGAAAGTCTGCTTTTTTCTTGTTCAGGTTCAGAGAACTGGTTTCTTCGACCCTCCTGTACCATTTTGCTTCAAGGTCAGTATTCTTCCTTTTGTTCCCATGGCACAAATGCATAGCCAGGCGGGCATTTCTCTGCAGAGGTTCAGCCAGGAATCTGTACGGAAGTTGGTCAGGATGTTCTTTCCCTGGAGCTCTGACTGCCAGCCAGACACATCTCACTATCTTACTGTCTGGAGTACCCTCTGCTGGCCATCCACTGCACAGATGTGGCCATTCTAATTCATAAAAGGATCTAAACTTTCAGGGCTTAATTTTAACACTATAGTGATCTGAAAATCCTTTCTTAAAATTCTTTTTGGTACCGGGGATCGAACTCAGGCTCCTGTGCTTTCAAGGCAAGTGGCGGAACCACTGAGCCAAATCCCCGGCCCAAAATTCTTTAACACACATCCTGTACAGTAGGGCGTGAGGTACTGTCTCCATGATCACTAGGTACTAGTGTATGTAGTGATCTTGTTCGGTGTCGCAAGACAAAGGAGGGTAACCGCGATGACTCTCCGGGCTTTGGGAGGATTTCTCACCGCCAAGAGCCTCGGAACTAGTCCTTTCCAGACGCGTCTACAGAATCACAGAGCAGGCCCATTCAAGTCTGCAACTCCAGGAAAATCTTTTAAGCACAAGCGCCCCTTCCTTTCGTCTTGGAACACGGACGGAGGTACAGTGGGAAGCTTACCCGGTCTGTTCTCAATCACTTTCACACACACACTCATTCAGAGGTTAAGCGTTCCACCCCGGGGTGACCCTTTCTAATTTAAATTATTTAACAAATGCACTCAAGAGTCCTAACAAAAGAGGCGCTATGCCTCAAGGGGGCGATCAGACCCCTTTCCTTTCCAGGAGGTGGATAAAAACAGAACCAAAGTTTTCTGAGGTTTGTCCCGGACTAGCCTACCTGGCCCGCAGTCACAGGGGCCCTCGTCCTTCCTCTCTTTTCTGCTGGCGGCGAGAGGGTATCCCGATTCTTCGAGGGGGCCAAGGAAAAAGTCTCCAAGGGGTGCCCCCTGCCCAATGAATCTGAGACCCGACTCAGTGCCGGTCCGCTGGTCAAGAAAGAAATTACTTTCGGTTTTCCCGCAGACACCAAATGTATAGTATAAATATTTTCTTGAGTCAGTCTGCTTATTTTATTACTTTCTGTAAATAACAAAATAAAATAATTATAAATAAAATAATATGTATAGAAAAGTAAATCAGTGTAGCTAAGTATCAGGATCTCTTTGGATATAGGATTGATCTCATTAATATGTATGAAATTATTGTTATATATATACATATATATATATATATTGCTGATAGCAAGGCCAGACCCCAGAAGCAAGTCCTTGGGTCTGACCCTGAGCTCAAATCTGAACAAACTTTTATGCTGTTACAAAGGAAGCAGGGATTATCTGGCAAAACAGAAGTGCTGGTTGGGACTTTTTATTATGCAGGTGGCTTTTGATAAGCACCTACAGCCAAGTGCTACAGGGAGAGCACTGTGGTTTGGAAAGTACATATCATGGTGTTTCTTTCTTTTCTTCTTTTTTTTTTTTTTTTTTTTTTTTTTTTTTTTTTTGCAGGCAGCGGAACCACTGAGCTAAAATCCCAACCCTACATAGCATCTTAAACACAGCATGTCTCAACATTTCATGAGAATATTGTGTCTTAGCTCACCAATTACAATTTTAGCTTTATGAATTACAGTTTTTCTGTAATAATATGAGACAGGCCCCTAAGTAGACAACAGATAGGTGTCCATGTTCCTGCAGGCAGAAAGTGCACAGTGACTCTACCACCACAATTAGGCTAAGCAGGTGTCTCTCCCATGGTGGTTCAGTAAGTTACAACCAGCACACCTTAACAGAGGTGACAGCATTTGCAGAGTCACTCAAAGCTTCTACATATATAGTTTGTTGCAAGTAATAAAGCTAGCTTCTTCCTTGAGAAAACCTCAAAAGGCGGATGATACCCATGCAGCAGGAGGGCCCCAAGACAAGGAGTCCATTCTCATGGTGAATCTGGGTGAAGGACACGAAGATCAAGTCCCTAGAGGGAATGGAGCTCTTCACCAGTCTGTCAAGGAGTCTGAGATGACCAACTTACTCCTGGGCACCGTCCTCAGGATGTCGTTCTGAAGATCGCGCCAGCACAGAAGCACAATGACTCACTCACACTGGAGGACTCCTGCTGGCCATTGGACCAGGCTCAAGGTTTCAGCACCATTCCATGCCTTGTCTGGGCTGTTTGTGCCGAAGAGGTGGGTGACACTCTCCACTCTGCATGATTACCCTAGTTGTCAGGTCATTTTCATATGGGGGGGAAAGAAAGGCTCTTCAGGACACCGCACTGGCCTCTCTTTCCTTGAGGGGTGCACAGGCCTTGGGTTAGAAAAAAAAAGGTAATGTATGAATTTATTCTGCTTTTCAATTTTTGTTTTCATTTTTGGCAAAATAGCATAGCAACAGTTGTGCTTGCAAGATTGTCCAAGGTTGGGTCACCACCATAAGACCATTTGCGTATCAGTAAGAAAAAGGAAAACAGAAGGAAATGGATTCTTTAAGAAAACTAAAATAAAGCAGGATCCTGGAGACTCTGCTCCATTTGCATTTTCCACCTGCCCCATCCCCACCCCCAGGCTTCTCCAATTTAGCTGAGGGAAATCTCACTCTTCAGGAAGTGAGGAACTGGTACTTGGCAAGGCTTTGGTAACACCTGGTTTTTGACTGCGATCCACTACGTGAGGCAGTGTGTATGCACAAGGAGCTGGCCCCCAGGAACACAGGCAGGGTGGGAAAGCTGCCCGCTCTGTGTCATTAAGATCCCACTGGCTACACAGCCAGGCCACCATCAAGCATGCTGATGTAAATGGGTTCCACGCTACTGGGTCCATACTTACTGAGCAGGGCAAAATTTCCTTGGGAAAACTCTTTCCATCTATGTCCAAGAGCCACCGTGTTCTTAATGGCCAAGATACTGCTGGCTGCCCATCACGTAGTAGACCTTAGTTTGCCTTCGATGGCACATGCCTATCTGTGTAGGTTGCACTCAGAAGGCTTCTCTCCAGTGTGGCTCTGCCCATGAATCTGAAGGGCACTGGCAGATGACTTCTTCCCACACTGTGTGCAGCCTCCTTGCATGCCTGGGCCACTAACGAAGGTGTCAGCCTGGGGACAAGTTGGAGGGCCCAACAAATGTGCCAGGAACTTGAACTTTGACAAAGGTGAGGTGTGCCCAGATAAACATTGATGGGAGAGTGGTAGGACACTCGAGTTTGTAGGACCACCTCACCTTGGGGTTTCACACCCACCAAAGAGATTCTGGGTGGCTTCTCTTTCCCCTTCTTGGATGGATCTAGCACCACAGTGGAAAAAGGGTCACTGGGCTGAGTCTAAGATCCCCAAGGCTGACGTAAGGAACTTAACCTGCTTTTTATACTAGGTTCATTGTCCCCCATGGCAGAAAAAGAATTGTTAGGTTGCATCACTAAGACACAAGAGAAGGGTTTACAAGGCAGAGATTTTAGGATGCACTCAAGAATCGAGTAGGAGTCCTCAGAGAAACGAGACATATTATGAGCCAGAGATGGGTATATTTAAGGGATGTCTTCAAAATGGGTGATCTAGGCTATATACTTAAACAGTCTTGTTTCGTGGTTCAGGCTAGCCTTGAACTCATTGTGTAGCCCAGGCAAGCCTTGAATTCATAGTGAGCCTCCTGCCTCAGCCTCCTAGGATGTATATTCTTTTTTGCGGGTACCGGGGATTGAACTGGGGTCATTACATTTTCGAGGCAGGCGCTGGAACCACTGAGCTAAATCCCCAGCCCTAGGATGTATATTCTTACGGTTAGGTTACAATGCAAGCCATCTACATGTGTTTAAAGTTGAGATCTGCTATCCATCAATATTACTACTTTGCAGGTAGAGGAAGCACAAATCTATAGGTGAAAAGGACAGGTTCAGAGCCCAGACTTACAGGCTTATTGTCTTTGAGACCTATAGGATGTTTTTTTATTTTGGTTTTTTGAGACAGGGTCTCACTATGTAGTTGAGACTGACCTGGAACTTACCATGTAGCCCAGGCTGGTCTTGAACTTGCAGTGATCCTCCTGCCTCAGCCTCCCAACCGCTGGGATTACAGGCCCTATAGGATGTTTTTAAAAGCAAGTTTCCTAGAAAAAGGCTTAAGTAACTTGTCTTGAAGCTGCAGGTAAGTACAATTTTAAAATCTCGATTTCCTTGTCTCCTTTCTACCTAGTTTTTATTTTTCCTTTCCTATCTCAAAAGGACTCTGGAAGACCAGAGAGCCTCGGGCCTGAGTAGCACAGCACTGGGTAGGTGAGTCAGGGGTAAACCCTGGTCCCCTCCAGCTTCAGGGCAGAGTGTCAGCTCTGGGGACAGGGAGACAGCTGGGGGTGGAAGGGATGTTTCCTGAGGTAGCTTGTTTCAAGACATCCAGAGCAGACCTTGGCTAAGGCCTTCTGGCTAAGCAGGGCCACCGTGGTGGACAATTGGTGAGACATGTGGCTGTCCAAAGTCTTTAGGGCACTCTGTGGAAGGCATGGGGCCCACAAATCACCTAGATTCAGATCTGCTCCATGAGCTGGATCTGCTGCAGATACAGACAGAGGCTCTGCCCCAGGTCCCCTGGGATGCTTGGTGCCAGGCTCAGGCGTGGGGGTCTGCACTCGGCTGATTCACTGCCACCTTGGTGCCTGAGTGCCTGCCTGCAGTCACGTCAGTGTTGGTCACTCTGCTTTTGAATAAATAGCTTATGTCCTGGGGGCGCGGGGAAGAGCAGTCTTGTGTTCAAGTAAATGACCAACTGCTCCCAGCCTTTCTTCAGGTACCTGGAACTGAGCTGCCATGGTTCACCCTGACGCCATCCTCACTGCTGGGACTTGATGCTTATGGTTGGTGGCTCCACACAGCTCTGGAGTCCTCTGCAGGCCCAGGCCCTCACTGTCATTCATGGTAACAGGTGGATCTTTAGTGTGATTTTTTTGTGTTGCAGAACTCAGCACAGCACTTCTCACAGATGCCGGTCTCCTCCTGAAAAGGCCACCTCACCACCATTCCCTGGGGGTTCACTGCCACCAGCACCGCTGGGGCCACATCTCTCTTAAATATTTTTTTTGTTTTGTTTTTTCAGTCAGGGTCTTACTCTGCAATTCGGACTGGCCTTGAACTCATTACCTACCCTAAACTGGCCTCAGACTGGCAGTGATCCTCCTGCCTCAGCCTTTGAAGTGCTGGAATTAAAGGTATGCACCACCACACCCAGCTCTATTAAACAGTTAATAGCTAAATAAAAGGCTGGGAATCTAGCTCAGTGGTACAGCACTTGTCTTGCGCGTGCAAGGCATTGGGTTCATTCACGACTGCCACACACAAATCAAGATCATAAGCCAAAAGAAATAAAAATTCATAAATCAGATAATAGCAAAATTAAGATTTTTTTTTTTTTGCCAAATCCCTGGCCTAAGAATTTCTGTTTAATAAACAGTATTAGTGACAGAACTTATAAAAAAAAATTGGGAAGAAGGCTGGGATTTAGCGCAGTGGTTTTGCTACCTGCCTCGAAAGCACAAGGTCCTGAGTTTGATCCCAGATTGTGGTGGACTAATGGTCAACCTGTAATGCCAAGCTGAACTGAATCAGTATGGTCTGGGCATGGAGAATCCACCTGAAGATTGTTACCAACAGCCATAAAAAGAGAACTGGGGAGGAAGATCTTGGCCTGTTGATTTTCTAGGAGGAGCTTGCTGTGGATGGTTTTTCCTGATGTGAACTAGGCTGTTCTTGGAGGAGGAGCTCAGGAGCTTGGGACCTCACTGTCACTGGGGATGGCTGCTGCTTTCATCAGGGGAGCTCTGATCTTTACCATGAGCATCACTTCCTGGCTTCAAAGTAGATCCCTTGGTGGCACAAATCCTTCATCTCACCAGCACAGATTTTCTGGCCACTGGCCTTTGGGCCTTCCAAGTACAGATCCTCAATGCGGACAAGCCCAAGACATTGCCGTGGGCTCTAGGCCACTGGCTGGACTTGAGGAGGACACGGCTGTGGACTCTAAGCCTTTAGCCGGACTTGTGTGGGAAACTACTGGGATCCAAGCCCTCAGTTGAATGTTTGGGGCTTCCGGTGTGTGGTTAATCTCTTGCATTTGACTCCCTGGGTAATTATCATAAAATAACCTTATAAGTTATATGTCCTGTATTTAATGTATTCCCTTGCCAAATCCTGCGACTACAACACTGGTACAAAGAAAAAAAAACTGGAAGAGATTTTGCAGTGTCTTACATCAACAAAGGACTCATCTGAAATATACAATAATCTGTGGCAAAATGATATAAAAATAGGGCAAAATTCTAGTACAAAGATAGGCAAAGGAAAATTAAGATGAAATTTATAGAGAAAAATCAGACTGTAGGTGTAACTCAGTGGTACAGCACTACCCTAGAATATTTAAGAAGCTTGGTTTGATCCTCAGTACTGCCAAAAAAGAAAAAAAAAGACAAAAGAAAATTCAAAAGCTCACAAAGTATATTAATTAAAATTGCAAGCTAGAAGATGTGGCATACACCTATAATCCCAGTCCTCAGGAGGCTAAGGCAGGAGGATAGCTAAGAGTTTGAGGCCAGCCTGGGCTACTAATGAGTTCAAGGCCAGCCTGAACTGATAGTGAGACCCTGTCTCAAAAACAAAAAAAATTTTAAAAATCACCAGTACCAGGAAAAACACCTGCAGTAAAGTATTTAAAAACGAACGTAAAACAGAATATTGGTAATGTGAATAGTGTCAAGTATTAGCAAGGAAGTTGGAATATAAACACCCTACTATGGATAGGGGCAGACTCAACAGAATGTGGCGCTTGATAGACACAAAACATTTCGAAGGGCCCAAGAAGACACATGCAAAGATATTACAGACTTGCTTGTGGATGCAGGAAGTCAGAAGTTAGACACAGTCTAGTTTTTTGTCACTGGGGTAACAAACAAAATCTAGAGAATCACATAATAGAACATTTTATAGCAGTTAGGAACAATGGACTAGATTATGGAGATTAAAGAAAATTAGTTTTGATTTGCTTTTTTATTATTTATTTTGGTTTTTTGAGACAGGGTCTTGCTATATAGTCCAGGCTGGCTTTGAACTTGTAGTGATCCTCCTGCCTCGGCCTCCCCAGTGCTGAGATGACAGGTATACACCACCAATGACAGGCTGTTTTGTTTTTTTTAAATGGCAGATCTTACAATATATCTGTATGCTAATGAAGTGAATGTATAGAAAGAAAAGTTGATAATGCAGGAGAAAGTGGGTAAGAGCAGGAAAATTAGTCCTTGATACGCAAGAAATATTGGGAGTGGCAGCTGGCTTAAATGTGAGCAAGGACAACTCAGTGTAACAAGATGGAAGTCTGAGTATAAAGGTGAGATGGTCAGATTGGTGGTAAGATAAGGATGGTTTTTATTTGGATGTTGTTGGGGGTGTGTGTGTGTGTGTGTGTGTGTGTGTGTGTGTGTGTGGTGCTGGTGAACCCAGTCCTTGAACTACAACCCTAGCCTGGATGTTTTCTTTTGATTACCTTATTTGTTTTTTTTGGTACCGCGGATCAAACTCAGGACATTACACTTGGGAGGCAGGTGGCAGCACCACTGAGCTAAATTCCTGGCTCCTTGATTACCATTTTTTTTTTAAAAGACAGGCTCTCACTATGTCAGCTGGCCTCGAACTTGAAATTTTGCTTCTTCAGCATGAGTGCTAGGATTACAGATGTGTGCCCCACAGCTGGCTCCTGATTATCTTCTTTTCCAGGAGAATAAGAACCAAGCCACTAGTTAAGAGTGAAGAAAGATAAAGATGCTGGAGAACTACTGACAGCATTTATAAGTAAAGCCTCCCTTCTTTAGATTATTCATTCATGCCAGCCAGCCCTTAACGGAAACCATCAGCTTTGAGCACTGTTTACACCATGCATGCTTAGCATGCTGTTTCTCCAAGTGCTAAAGAATGAAGACAGGGATGGCTCCAAAGTGCCTTCCTGAGCACTGTTCCGTACGCGGGATGCTACTCCACTGCCTTCTGTGCCTTCTACTGGCTGCAGCCTACACAGGAGTGACCCCGGGAATGGACTGAACTCAGGACCTTGTGCTTTTGAGGCATGCGGCGGAACCACTGAGCTAAATCCCCAGCCCTAAGAAAATGTGTTTTAAAAATGAGCAGAGCATGTCAATCATTAGGCACAGAGCAACCTGTGACTATATTCAGCTGGAATCATGAGGCAGCAACCAGTGCTCAGGAAAAAATGGACTATTCACATTTAATTCATATTTTTCTATAACTCTTGGAACAGGTGGTCTTTATCTCAATTTGATAAAGGCTATCTATGAAAACCAACAGCCAATATCATACTAAATATTCAAAAACTGAAAACTTTCACTCTAAAAGTGGATGTCCACTATCACTACCCCTGCTCAATATAGTTTTGGAAACTCAGCAATTAAATAAGAGAAACAAATAAAAGCAATAAAGATAGGAAAGGAAGATATTAAACTGTCATTATTTGCTGACAATATGATACTGTACATAGAACACCCAAAAAACTCCACCAAAAGACTTCTAGACTTAATTGACAGATTCAGTAAAGTAGCTAGATACAAGGTAAACAATAAAAAATAAATAAATAGCCTTCTTGTACACAATAACAGACTGAGAGTGAAATTAAGAAAACAATTCCTTTCACAATAGCATCCCCCCAAAAAGAAATATCTAGGAATCAGTCTAACAAAGGAAGCAAAAGACTTCTACATTGAGAACTACAACACTGAAAAAAAGAGATTGATGATGTAAGAAAATTGAAAAAAATCCCTTGCTCCTCGGTAGGAAGAACCAATATAGTGAAAATAGCCATACTTACAAAACTGCTATATACCTTCAACACAATCCCTATTGAAATCCCAACAGTATGTTTTACAGAACTAGAGAAAACAATCCAAAAATTCATTTGAAACCAGAAGAGACCTAGAATAGCAAAAGCCATCCTAGGCAACAGAAACATGGCAGGGGGTACCACAATCCCCAATGTGAAACTATACTACAAAGCTACTGTGATAAAAACAGCATGGCACTGGTAAAGAAACAGATCCTAGGATCAGTGGAATAGATTAGAAGATACAGAAACAACTCCAGACATACTCAGCTATCTCATCTTTGACAAACGAACCAACCATCCCCACTGGAGGAAAGATAGCCTCTTTAATGAATGGTGTTGGAAAAAGTGGATTCAACTTGCCAAAGATTAAAACTAGACCCATGTGTTTCACCATGTCCTAAACTAAAATCCAAGTGGATTAAAGATACAAATATTAAAACAGAAACATTAAACTTTCTGGAGTATAGTTAGAACTCTTGAAGATATTAGCATAGGAAAAAACTTTATGAACAAATCCTCAGTACGATGAAAACTAGCACAAAGAATCAACAATGGGATCTCTCTTTTTTTTTTTTTTTTTTTTTTTGGTACCGAGGATTGAACTCGGGTCCTTGCGCTTGCAAGGCAGTCCACCAAACCACTGAGCTAAATCCCTGGCCCAGATCTCATCTTTTTAAAAAAGCTGCACTGCAAGAGTAATCACCAGTAGAGCTGACAGAAAACTCACGATGTGGGAAAAAATTTTTATCAACTGTTCCTCAAAGGTCTACTATCTAGAATGTATTAAAAAAAACCCTCAAAATAATCAGGCCCCCCCCAAAATATAAAGACCCGATTCAAGGGCCAGGGATTTAGCTCAGAGATTTGGCGGCCTGCCTTGCAAGCGCAAGGACCTGAGTTCAATCCCCTGTACCAAAAAAAACAAGAAAGAAAAAGACCGGATTCAAAAATAGGCATCTGAAATGAACACGTTCTCGGAGAAGTGAAAGCAGCAAATAAACATATGAAAAAATGTTCAGCATCACTGATCATTCGAGAAATGCAGATGAAAACAACACTGAGATTCTACTTCACCCCAGAAAGAATGGCTGCTATCAAGAAATCAGTAACAGGCCTGGGATTTAGCTCAGTGGTGCAACTGCCTGCCTTGAAAGCACAAGGTCCCAAGTTCGATCCCTGGTACCAAATAAATAAAGTTGTGAAAAAAAAAGAAAAAAATCAGTAACAAATGCTGGCAAGGTTGTGGGGAGAAAGGAACCCTTCTTTATTGTTGGTGGGAGTGAAGACTGGTGCAACCACTATGGAAGTCAATATGGAGATACTTCAACCAAGTAGGATTGGATGTCTCATTTGACCCAGCTATTCCTCTGCTGGATACCTTCCCAAAAGAATTAAAAGAATCATATCACAGTAACATATGTGTACCCATGTTTATAGCAACACAATTTGTAATAGCTAAAACTTGGAAACAGCCCAATTGTCCATCAACTGGAGATTGGATAAAAATGTGTTTTTTTTTATATAACATGAAGTACTACTCAGCCATAAAGATTGAGAACCTACAGACATTTGTAGCTACGTGGATGCACATTGAGGCCATACTCAAGTGAAACTAATAGGACACACATGTGTAAATACCGAACAGTTTCTCTGGTGTGAAAAAGTAAAAGTGTAAATAATGATCAACATGTATAATTGATATTATGTAATAGGAAGAAAAGATCTAAAAGAGTAGAGGAAGTGGGAGGGGTAGGGAAAAGATAAAAAGGGAAAAGTAAAAATATGAGAAAAGGAAAAACACAGAAATAATGTCTTTGTAAATAGGGAAAAGGATGCAGGGGGTAAAGGGAAGACTGGGGAATGGAGGGGAAAGAAAGAACCAAGGTAAGTCATGTAAAGGTACAACATCTAAAGTAAGACTGTAACTATTATAAGCCTAAAATGAGCCAATAAACGTAATTTAAAAAAAAAAGAAAAAGAATGAAGACAGAGCCAGGGATTTAGCTCAGTGGTTCCGCTACCTGCCTTGCAAGCATAAGGTCCAGAGTTCAATCCCCGTTACAAAAAAAAAAAAAAAAAAAAAAAAAAATGACAGTGGCAAACAACTTGGGCTATAGAGGGAAGGAGTGGGGTTGAAAATAACAGGAATGGATAAAGCTAGCACTCACTGGTTCTTAAAGGTCCAGCACAACAGTTAAATTAGGTCTGCACTTGCCTCTTCCTCAAATCCAAACTACCTTGTAAGTACATACCCCAGTGTCTTGTGTACTTAGTCCTCCAGTTCCTTTTCTTTCTTTCTAAACAGGGACTTCTCTCCTTCTTTTCAGAGCAGATCTCCGTGGTTATTAACTCACTGTGTAACTCAGGCTGGCTTCGAGCTTGCTATCATCCTCCTGCCCCAGCCTCCCAAGTGCTGGGACTACAAGGCCTGCATCACACTCAGCTCCTACAACTGCCTTTAAACAAGGAAACAAAGCTGGCATGGTGGCTTCAGCCTGTATTCCCAGCATTTGGGGAGGCTGAGGCAGAAGGATCCTCAAGTTCAAGGCCAGTCTGGGCTACACAGTGAGTTCAAGGCCAGCTTGAACTACATGGAGAGATATTAGTACTATTATCTGATGGCAGCTTGAATCTGAACAGATGAAATTCCAGTCTCAGGTAAGACTTGAGCACCTCCTGACCACCTTGACCATGGTTATCAGGTAGATGAACTTGGAGAAAACTCATGTTTCCAATTCTGTGAAACGGAAAGCGGCACATACCTGTAATCCCCACACTAGTGAGGCTGAGGCAGAAGGATCATAGGAAGTTTAAGGCCAGCCGGGCTACATAGTGAGTTAAAGGCCAGCTTGAACTACACCGCGAGACTCTCTCAATAAACAAAAATAAGAAAAATATATAAAAGGATAAAATGAAGAGTGAAGTTGCTTACTGCACCTATTATGCTATGTGATACATTCTCTAAGGCATTCAGTTTGAGGAAATACTACTTTGCAAATGAAATGGTGTATGGATGTGTACATGTACTAATGGTTTTGCAGTTAGTTGTATGACTGTTTTGCAAGAGATCAGGATGAGGCCAACCACCTGACCAGGTGTAGTTAAGCCTCCAGCAGTGAATGAACCCTAGAGTTTGACTATCAGTACACACAGCAGGTGTAAACAATTTTAGCCTTGGGGTGTGTGATAAGCATACCTGTCCTTCCAGTACTCCAGGAGGCTGAAGCGGGAGGATCAGAAATTGCACTTCAGGCTGGATTTACCAAGTCTCAAAAGTGGGGATGGGGTAGAATAGAGATGTACCTCAGAGTGAAAGCTCTGGGTTCAATCCCCAGTACCTGAAAAAAAAAAAGTAAACGAATCAAATAAAGAGCCTGGTTTGAAGTGGGGGGCGAGTTCTCCGTCGACGCTTAATTGTTCACAAAGTCTCTGGGGGAGAAAAGATTAGGCGCTCTCGGACAGATTTGGAACGCCAATTCGCGGGATCTGAATGCCGCGCTGAGTGGGGCTCTACTGCCACGAGTTGGGCACCAGAGGGCGCCAGTCGGATCGCGCCGGAACCTACCCCGCGCGGGATCGCGGAGCTGACACAGGAGGTCTCGGGGCTCCTTGCCTGTCGCCGATGCAGGCTTTAATGACCTCCCCGCATCCTCCTTCCTTTGCAGCCCGGGCCTGCCCTGGAAGGCGCCTGGCTGGCGTGGACGGAGGCGGGACCGTGCGCCCGTCTGGGTCCCCGGAGAGCGCGGGG